ATGTGGATGGAGGATGGACCTTTTCCTTGACTTTCTGTAACACCTCTTCTCCAAATCATCTATATGTGTTGGGACTTTATTTCAGGTTTGGGAAGATGGAGAGTAATTAAACTGTAGAATGACAGAGTAAACATCATTAAAAATGTGTACTCAATATCCATGTTCCTAGGATTCTTCTTGCCATCTGGTCTCTGCTTCTCAATGGCCATCTTCCTCCTCAGGTCCCAGGCTCCCACCATCTTGTTAGACCCTTAATTATTCTCTTTCTTCTTCATTTCTGTACCCTAATTTTAACTTACTGTGCAAAATGAAGTTCTCTGTACTTAACCATTTCCTTCAACATCAACCCTTAAGGCCTTACCTTCCTAAATGAAAAGGTTATGAAGAAAGACAATTTTTTCTCTAAGAATTCTGATGACATCTGTTAAATTCATCATTTTTATTTCCTGTCATCTGGTTCACAGAATGATTTGGAGAATCCTTCAATATAATGGCAAATATAGTTTTCTAGAGCAGAAGTTTTAAAATAGGAGATTTTTTACTAGAGGATTATACTAGAAGAATAAGTGGAACAATTCCCTGGGTAATCTACAAGCCTCTAAGACTTTCCTGCCCATGCTCCAGGCAGTGGCCAAGAACCGGGACCAAGGCTCATAGGAGGACTACCTGGAGGGGCTTCGTGTGTTTGACAAGGAGAGGAACGGCAAAGTCATGGGAGCAGAGCTCAGACACATCCTCACCACGCTGGGAGAGAAGATGACAGAGGAGGAGGTGGAGACTGTTCTGGCAGGACACGAGGACAGCAATGGCTGCCTCAACTACGAGGGCCTCTTGCCTTCTCTGCAGCCTTCCTGAAGCACATCCTAAGCGTCTGAGCTCTGCAGCTGGGGCCTCTACCCCGCCCCACCTTGAAGGTCCAGGGGGGCGGACACGTCCCCCGCGGGCGGAAGCACGTTCCCACCGCCAGGAGGCCACCTATTGTTTCAAAATAAAGACACGGTTCCTCCCTTGGAAAAATAAAAAATAATAATAATAAAAGAAAGCTCCCACATCCAGATGAGAGTCCGTGTGTTCTCCCTAAAGCAGACCAATACATTGATAGTTCTGCCATGCTCATATACAATCACTGGAGTCAGGGATTCTGTACTCTGCAAACTTGAATTTTGCTTATTTCATATCTGTTTGATCTACCTATTTCTGAGAAGTATAAACATTTTGAATTATTAAAAAATTCATGTTTTTTTATCACCATAAATATCAATCCTTCTAGTTTCTCTAGCCCTAAACGTACTAGTCAAGTTTTACTTCTCCTTTTGCTTCTCCCTCATCCCTCTCATCCAATCACTTATGATGTAATTAATGATTCACTCACCACAAAAATCTTTGTCATGACATGGCTCTACAACAGACTCTCATGACTATTGCCAAGACTATTATAATAGCTCCTTGCTGGGCCACCCTCCTTTGGTTCCTTTTTCCATCCTTAGTCATCTTACCCATAGTTACCTTTATAACTCCAGACTTTGCCAGGTTACTTCTACCCTCTAGATAGAAGGAGAATGAATTCACTCATTGGTTTAATAAACATCTTTGAGAATTTCTAATGTGCAGGGTAGAGACAAAAAGATGGATAAAGCTGGGCTCGGTGGCTCAGCCTGCAATCCCGCGCCTTTGGGAGGCTGAGGTGAGTGGATTGCCTGAGCCTGCAGGTTCGAGACCCGCCTGGGCAGCGAGAACTCATCTCTACAATAAATCAAAAAATCAGCCGGGTGTGGTAGTGCATGCCTGTAATTTTGGCTACTTGGAAGGCTGAGGTGGAAGGATCGCCGGAGCCCAGCAGGTCGAGGCTGCGGTGGCCGGGAGCGGCCACTGCACTCCAGTCTGGGCGACAGAGTGAGACTCCAACACAAAAAAAAAAAGATAGATAAAGCCCATTCACAATCTCAGCAAGGTAAAAATGTGATGGGGTAAAACACTGATGTTTCTCAACTAGAATATAAACTGCTTTGCCTACCACTGAAGTGCTCCTTAATGAAGCAGGAGCTTGCCGTTCCAGCCTTATTTGCCAGTCTTATTTCCTCTCTGTTATAGTGCCCAGTGGACTTCAGATACAATGAAGCTATAATTTTCAGAAAAACTTTTCAATTCAATCTTTGCTCTTTCCAAGCTGCCTAGCATTACCTCCTTCCCTCTGATGACACTGTACAGTTCTTTCTCCAAGTCTTTGAAATGGAACTCCTACCGGCCTTCCAGGAACTCACTTTCTTCCTTTCATCTTTCAGCAAGTATAGCCATGGCTTTCTCCCATTGTATTTACAGTATAACACTTACCAAGGCTGCCTTCTAGGATAGATACCTGTATATCTATGGTCTATTCTCCAATTTTACATTTCTGAAAGTGCCTTTCACATAATAGGTACCTAACTAAATCCTACAATCTGGAGTGAACTTAAAAAGCACACAAGACAATGTTCTGCTCCTAACCAGATTGAAAACAATTAAGGAGCTTCTGAGGAGAGCAGAATCCACTGAATGTATGACGAGCCAGAAGAGGGACATATTCACAGCAAACATTTATTAATTTCTCAGAGATGCATCAATCACCTAGGAAGAGTTTCCTCATCTTCCCACTCCCAGTCATGTACTACCTCATGTTCTACAGTTCCAGGCAGGGACTCTAAAAGCAGGTTTTCAAACTTCTGTATTTCCCACCTTATCAGTCATTATAATTTGGATATGAATGCAACAATCCTAAATCACTCTTTATCTTTTTAAATCAGTTTTTAAAAAAGAAAGAATAGTAATCTATAGGCTCTAGTACAGATAGGCAGAGTATGGTCATCCACACAGTTTGTGCAGCACCCATTGTAGTGTACAGGGTTACTTCCATAAAAGCAACCTTAAGGAAGAACTGAAACAAGAGGCTAATATGCACTGTACAATGTATTGTTCCTGGCAGGAAGAACAAGAGGTAGCAACATAAATACACTCAGTGGACAGGGCAACGTCCCTGAGAGGTGGTGGGCCTAAATGTACAATCACAAATGTAATACAAATATACGTCAACAAAGAGTCTGAACAATTTTATTTAACTAAGCACTTTTATTTAACTGCCAAGTCAACTTAAGAAGTGGTGATGTGACCACAGGTTCATGATTATTGAAGTGGAGTGAAGAGTGTATGGGGGTTTATTACATATATTCTTCTGTCGACTCTTGCTTTTTACAGTTTGAGTTTTTCATAATAAAAAGTTATAAAAATGAAACAAATACAAAAAAAGAAGTGGTGATAATGATGATGATGGTGATAGTAGTGGTGATCTCCTCTGAGACATTAAGGAAATTGATTTGACCAAGGCTACATAGCTACTATGTAATGTGCTAGTATTCAAATCCACAAGTATAACGCCAGAGCTATAATCTTAACTCTAGCTTCTGATATCTTATGTATTGTGTGAGGTTGAATTAGGAAGTAGCAAATAATTTATACCTACAAAGAATATTGACATGGCAAAGAACTAATCACATGATACCCCAACTGCAGAACCAAGTATTTATGCTAGTTAGAAATTTAGTTGCAGGATCTCTGTAATGAACTTTGCCGGTGAGTATGGTTACATGCTTAGCCAAGAGGGCAGCCTTTCTTCGATGAAAATCCATAGTGTGACCTGAGGAACATGTGGTTAGAGACATTATAAGCTGCCCAGTTATGAGCATGCCTAACTATTACAGATGATAAAAGTGTGAGAGTCAGAACTGGAAATAGGTGATGCATCCCACAAGAGGTAGGCATGGAGGTCTGGCTGAGTGAATTTTCAATGAATGTTACAAGAATGCTAAATCTCAAACAATCGACCCTGTGCCCCACTGGTAGTGTGAGTTACACTGTGCACCATCCACTCTGTTCCCTAAAGAATTTGAGGTGGAAAACTGGATGCCTTATATGGATAATAGTCAACACAGACAGGAGATCTGGCAGGTCACAATACAGCAAGGTTTCCACCTGGGGTCCACTTAAACACACAATTATATGGAATTGTGTTTCTATATAATTAGCTTGTTTTGAAATTCTATTTATTTTATTTTATGCATTTAAAGATATTCTGTGAAGAGGGTCCATACACTTCACCAGGCAGCTGAATGGATTCAAGACACAACAAAGCTTAAGAAGCCTGGAAACCGTGAGGGACCTTTAGACCACGGAGCCAGCTTGGAACACCAAGCTGTAACCATTAACAATGACAATCTTTCCTACTTAGTTACTATCTAGGAAGTAGTATGGCATCACCAGAACACAACTACCACGTGCACAGCTGTCATTACTAGCCTTAAAAAGCCAGAGACCATTCATATCGACCACTCCAGAGCTAAAATAATGACCATCTAATAATCTACTCAAATCAGTCAAGGTTTACACTATTATCCATGTGAAACAAGTACTTATTCTGAATTTAAGTACTCCTAATTAATTTTTATCTTGTTTGATTAGATCTTCAGATATTTCAATATAAGGAAGTTAAAAAAAAGAACATAGACCCAATGGTCTACTAGGTTTGCTTCTTTCTGGAGGAGTAAACCATATTACCTCCAACATGTGAACAGAAATGGAAGAAAACAGAGCTGATTTGTCTTCATTCCTATCCAAAATGGTACAAGCTATCAGAACATGGTTAGGTAAAAATGAAACAATCCAAAGATAACTCACATATTTCTAGGGAATGTATTTTAATATTGTACTAACTATGAATGCATCTGACATTTTCAGATTTAATGTCATATTAGATTTATTACACACACACACATACACACGCACAGGCAGGTAAGACCTTTTTCAGAAGGATTCAAGAAAATGATTTCCCTCTGTCAACCCTTCTATAGCAATTTTTCTTGATTCATGCTTTAAGATCAAATTAAGCAATTACAAACAAAATCTGGGTCCCACAATAATAAATTTAGATTATGAATGAAATTAGAGACACAAATAACTAATGCAAGCACAAATTGGTTAATTGATGAGTTTAGTATTTAAAATATTACACTTTCTGATATTGTCTATTTGAATTGGCTACAAAATAAGAAAATGTATTCCAATTGAAAACACAATCTTTTTATAAATTGAATATAAATCAGAAATACTCAAGGTCATTCTGAAAGGTTGAAAGGTGCAAGTATGTTTATCTATGCTGTTCCAATGGGAGGTCCTATGTCTCTTCCAAGCCTTTGTGGAAACCAGGCTCATTTTTATACCATCAGATTAATGTTTTAAATCTTGGTGTCTTAGCAATTAGGTTTGTATTGACTAAAAGTAAATTGAATATTTTGAAATTCAAAAAAATTATTTTCCAGTGATAATTTGTCTTACTAGCATTTCGTGAATGTTTTCATATTCTTTGTCAACAGAAAATGTCCAGTTTTCATTTAGAACTAAAGTATGCATTTTGAAATATTGTCTAAAAAAAATTTAACTTTCTCACAATGTTATCATGAAGGCCCAGTTAGAGGAGATGGACAATATTTTGTATTACTTTAATGTTTGATTACTCTCTCTCTCTCTTTCTCTCATTTTTTTTTTAGAGCAATGAATATCCTTCCCTAAAACACTGGAAGCAACAGAGTCATAGAATTAAAAATAAAAATCCCAGTCTCGGAGACGTAATAAGAGAGATTTGTGTCTCATGTTTTCAAAATCTTTGGCTTCCATACTGATGTCACCATAGTAAGAAACTGCAAAGGGGACAGGTAAAGAGAAGAATAAGCATTTACCTATTAAGATCCTTATAGATTTTGAATCTTTGATTTCACCTAGTTTGATCAGTTAATGATCTATTAGTGAAAGGATTTAAAGAGTGCTCTGAAAGTTAGAGCATGGGACAAACGTGAAATATTAAAGTGACAATGTCACATTGTCATAGATTATATGCTATGAGGAGGTGTGTGTAAATCATATAAATCTTGTCTATATTTTTATCATTTTCTTAAAAATAGTTCCAATCAATCATTAAATTAATTTAAAAATGCAGTGATCAATATGCCACTCATGGGAACAATACCAGTATAAATTATATAGCATAACTAATAATTCAATAACTAATAAAAATTATCCAGAAAAAAATCAATGTATTTCAAAATAATGTAAAGCTGTTACCTCAAAATATGATTTGATTATAAGGTTATAACTCAGAAAATATATCACTCAAAATAGTTTTTAGTTTTATCAACAAGTTGTGGGCAGTTTATTTTCACTGATAATTCAAGTTCTTGTCGTATTTCTTAATATTTAAAAAGTAGAATAGTTGAAATTTAGTCTTCAAATAATTCTCAACTTCAATTTTTTTTCACATTTTGTAGTTGTAATACTCCTATATAATCAATAAGGACAGATGAATGTTTGAAATATGCACACTTGAAGAAAATATTATAGTAGTGTAAAATCACACAAAAATACACCAAGTCATTTTTTTCCTAAGGTTTAATTTTAACTAATAAATTTTAAGTGGCAACTGTAATGTCAACTCAAGTCTTTGCTTTTTTTCAATGCACACACTATTTTTTGTAGCTTGCAGGTGAAATACATTATTTTCACCAGGGTAACATTTCCACCCTTATTGTGGTCTTTCTCTTATTTCATTTTTCTTGAGTCCTTTTTCTTCAATGGTTTAACAAGTCACTTCTGTTTTGGCTAAAGAGGAATCCTAGCACAATAATGTTTCAACTTGCAAGGAAGAACACCCCTATTGAGTTGATAGAACTCCACCAGCTGGATTAGATCCGTAAATCTTGTGTGGCCATCATCCAGTGTGTGGAACATTTCACCATCATCTTCAACCTGCAGAAGGAAAAGCAACAAATTAGGAAAGAGGGCAAATTTCCCAGTAGGACAATCATATTCTATTGCAAACTGTCTCCAGATACCATTGTTGACAAGTTTATAAAACTAATGAACAGCTTCTTTTTTGTAATATCACTTGTAAGTAAAAGAAATATCATCCGATCCTTAGATAAGCAGTATAACCTTTTGTCTACTTCTAATTCTCCCAGCATTCTGTTAGTACAGTAGGATTATTTTGAATCAATGAACAGTAAGGAATCTGCAATAGCCAATGTAAAAATAAACAGATTTTCATGCTCCCACTTACAGAAATAATTTGCATTTCTAAATGTTGTCTACTTAGTCTCAAAAATGAATATTTACATAACTTGTACCAGTAAATTGATTCTGGAGCAGTCACATATGCTAATGGAATCTCAGTTTCTCTCTCTCTCTCTCTCTCCCTCTCTCTCTCTCTCTCTCTCTCGGTCAGTGAAGTCTTCTGGCATTAGACAATTCATATTTACTGAGAACATAGATCACATAATCAAAGAAGTAGGAAGGATACTTTATATGACCTTTGGATAATTCCCAAAAGAGGCAATTCAAAAGGAAGCACTAGTTATTTAGCAATCTTTTGTAATACTTTCCTGAAAGTAGACGCAATCTCTCTCTATTACCTGGTTCCAGTATACACATCCAATACATATACATGCACACACACAGATAGATAGCAGTAGAAGAAACAGATGTCGCAAAACAAGCTGTGCCACCCAGAAGCAGAACCATAAATTTTTAAAAATGTGTTCAGAATAGTTTAAATGATCACCGGTGCCACAGTACCTGTATCTCTATTCATAACCATCAAAAACTAAAAAGCAAAAAATTGTTTTTGAGAAAAGAAAAAGAGCTTTAAAATAATGTTTCTCAAGGAACCATTAGTAGAATTCAGGAAAAAGAACCTTTAGTGGCCTTTTAACAACAGGTGGCATGGGGTCTATACAATATTGCTAAATCATATTTCATGGAAAAAGGAAAATTTAATTTTTACAATTCCTGTATTTCTTATATTAATTTAGGCTCATAAATCCATTTCTGCCAAACTTAACTCTAGACAAAGCACAAGTTTCCAAATTATATTTAATAAAAGGATCAAAAGAAAAGCAAAGTTTCCTAAAGCTCATGCATTAAGATCATTTCCAATATACGAATGTTAAATCACAAATTACTTACTGGTATAATTTGAAAGTGCTTTATTTTTTGTCCATGACTCATTGACAGTACGAAAGTTTTGGGGTTACTCTGACTATCCCGTACCAAGAAAACTCTAAAGAAAGAGAAGGAATTTCAATATGTTTCTACATTTACTCATGAATTTCACAGAATTATGTGTAACAAATCCAGGAAGTGTATTCATAAACATAGCCACAAACCCCCTTTACTGTGTATTCCATGGGTGAAATCATTCAATTTGATAAAAAATATGGGCTAATATAATCTTATACAATAAACCTGTCAACAGTGCTAATATAATTTTAATAGGATAAGTATATAGCCCATTTGTCAGATTGTTGGCCATAATAACCAATATGCTGTTTTACTGGCATTAACAATTAGTGCCAACAATTAGTTTTTCTACTGGGAAATTGACTATTCACATGTAACTCTTTTGCACAAAGGATAAAGCATTAGTATATTGTTATTTTAACTTCTGGGTCATGTTAGGCCCTGAAAGAAGATAATAATTTGGAATGAAGTCATTTTTTAGCCCCTCTTCTACACTGGATCGCCCTGTTTTTGATTCTGGTTTCAACTAGTACATACACAACAGAAAGGAAGAAATGAATATATTCTAAAAAAACAATCTTGAAATCATTAATTATTAAATGTTTACCCAAAATGTTTTAAGTAAAAGAAACACCCAAACATACTTTAATCTTGAAGAATCCAGCAGAAAAGCTCCTATAATGTCAGGCTAGAAAAAATAAAACATGGCCTAATGGCCTAAGAGAAAAATGCTGCCAGGTGTGGATTCTTATTTACTGGCAATGCAGTGCAAAACCAGTTTGGGAACAATTGTTGGCAAACACACTGTGTAAATGGTCCCCACTGGTGAATCCAACACTAATGTCACTGTGCCTGTGCAAAGAGGTAGCCAAATTTAAGGCATCACAGATGTCTGACAAGATTATCCATTTCATTTGCGCTGTGTGAGATTCCGACATTACATCACTGGGAGATGGGACAAAAGGGCATTTCACCGGTAAATCAAGCTGTTAATTCTCTCCCCATTCTCAAGTAGATCACCACTACCACCTAGTGGACCAGTGGGTACCATCACATCTTTCCAAAGGAACACCAAAAAAATTTTTTAAAAAGATATTATCATTCTTTATACAATCATTTCATTTAATTTACAAAAACTGTGCTCAGAAATAAAGAAAATTATAATCCTTCAAAACATTTTAATAATTCTTCATAATTTATTTCTTTTCTTGGTTTCATCATATTGTAATTTTGCTGATTGTTAAAATTTATATCCAAAAAGACTGCACTCCATGCAGAGAAGCATATTAAAATCTTCTCTTATTTATAGTCAAGGGAAATGCTGACTCGCTATTAATAATCTTCCATGTAAAGATGCATTTTCATCTAAATGTCAGTGTTAAATCACCTTGAAACCTTGTCATTATCTTAAGCCAACTTTTGAAGATAAAAGATCCCATCACCACTTGTTTAAATTGATACTGGTTTCATTTCTCATCCAAACCTCAATACAACCTTCCTCATCTGTATTGCATTTGGAAGGACATTTAGTCAGTATTACAGAAAGCATCTGAAAAACCGAGCAATTTGAGAAAAAGCAAATTCTTCAGATTAGCAACCTTTCATAATACATTTTATATTTCTCTTGTATATTCCATAGTACCCCATTAGGAGATAACACAGGAAATGTCAAAAAGTACTTTCTTTATAGGTTTATATTACGTTAAGCTGTTAAAATTTAGAGAAATGACAATAGGGTTGTAAACAGGCAGAAAAAATAAAACAAGCATTCAAAATATGTAAGAAACAGCTTTTTACTTAATACACCCTATATGATACTTTTAAAAATGAAACATGTAAGATAAGTCATGAAATAAACCACACTTTGGAATCATATTAATTACATATTCAAATCAAAATGTTAAACACAAAAACAAGTTCAGTTTTTCCCCCTCATCAACTGATATCTAAGATGCTAGAATTGGCATAGAATTGGTAATATTAGTGATCAATGGTTAAGAATAAAGTATCCAATTATGTTATCTTTTCATTTATGTGCAAATACTAGGCACACACTATATACTAGGTGTTACATAGAAGTTGCTAGAATACAATGAAACCTCACTTACAGAACAAAATCACTTCTGTTCTATAAGTCCAAATCAAGAACTCTTAGTATGTGTTGAATAAACAATTGCTACTTACAGAAGCAGTTCAAATCACTACTGTTCAAAATTTAAAAGATCGTGCTTACCCATCCACAAGTCCTTGCTGAATAATCAATCGCTGAGCTTCATCTCTAGAAATTTTGTGGTGAAACCATGGCTGGGACCGGTGGATAGCTAAAGAAAGAAAATGGATGAATACAAAGCTTTATTTGTAAATGATCATAATTTCATTATATGTCCTTTTGCACCATACCCACTCACTGACTACATCTAAAGGCACATTTATCCATGATTCAGTGACAATACTATGAACACACATACCCAAGTTTGTGGTGGAGCTCTGTGAAGAGGCAGTGGGGCTACCGTGAGTGCCCAGGCGTAAGCACCCTTTTTTCTGAATAAGGTAGGGGAAAACAAAGTTCAGCTTTGTGGGTGAAACAAACCCAAAGCATAAATATTTTGAAGAAAGTGAAGTTACATTTACCCTCCAAGCGAGTCCTTCTTCAACTGCAACTGAAAGGGCTTCAGTGGGATTTTCTATAACTCTGCTTTTCTGGCCTGAGAAGTCCATTGCTACCAGAGAATTCTCTGATATGCTTCTCTGGGGAAAAACAAAAACAAAAACAAACACACACACACACACACACACACACACACATTTGAGCCATGAAAATATCTCTGAATGTTATCTTGCAGTGTTTTTAGACAGGGGCTCCAAAAGTGGCTAGCAGGAAATTAAAAAGTTAAAATACACATTCAAGATAAAATGATGCTATAAAATATTTTGGTTATATAACTTACATGGTTATTTGTTAATATAATTGAATTGAAAGCTGAATAAAGACATTAGAAGCTTTCAAAGTGTGTTTTTCTTCTAAAACAAACCTAACTTTTTAAATTCTCAAGTAAAATGGGAAAACTTCCATTTAGAAAGGAATAGCCCTTCCTGTGATTAAAAAGATACATTAGTTCTGAACTCATCTCTCTTTTAAGCTCTGAGATTCATCAACCATCAATTAAATGCCAAAGCCATCTACTTATGAAGCAGTTTGTCTCATAAGATTCAAGATGCACCAAAGCTATAGCATAGATTGAGAACAATACTTCTTTAGAAATAGTACTCATGTTTCCTAATGAAGCAAACTAAAATACGTATTTTAAAAGTTTATCACATCAACTTTCTTCTTACTTAGAAAATAAAGTGTAGTAAAATAATAATTTAGATAATTCCATAATATTAAAATTTTCACGATTTAATATATGAACACTTTCATAAAGGAATATACTCAGCCACATGAGACCTATAAAAAGAAGCCTGGAAGACAAATGAACTGATACGAAAAGAAGACAGCTGTAAACAAACATGACTTAAACAAGTAATAAAGTCATCATTTTAGCTAATTACTTCTTATATTCTCTGAGGTGAAAGTAAAATATCCCAAACCTGGATCCTATGTTTATTTTTTGACTGTTTGGGGATTACTTCACAGCCACCTTCTAAAAAGTATGCCACCCCACAAGTCATCCTAATAAGAGACAGCTGTCAAAATCTCCAGTCAAGAGTTTAACTCAGTTTTTCAACATCAAGAAAGAATTAAAACTCTCCAAAAGAAAAATTTTTAAATCATGAAAAATATTTAAATATTTAATTCATAGAAGAGCAAGACCAAAAGTGGAATTATAATGGTAAAGTATGTGCCAATCTGCATCTGGGGACAAGTGGCTTAAAAGCATTTTATATTTATTTACATGGATAGAGACACACCTAGCTTGGTTGAACAGACAATAGTTAAATGTACGCTTCAGACAAAACCTTCTCCACCAAAAAAACAAAAACAAAAAAATGTAGGACTCCTTTATCCCTGCATCATATATCCCACTTTATTAGCATTTGTTATTTTCTCTTCAAACCATGCTGGAGTGGCCTACAATCTTATTATGGCTCATCTATATTTCTAGAGACCTGGCATGCAATCTTTCGTTTGTTACAGGAGCCTTTATAACTGACAGCTGCTCTTTCCAGACAGATGCTGTCTCTGTAATCTCTATTTGCTGTCACACCTTAGTTTGCCCTTCTCACCCCGTGAGCTTCTGTGCTGGGCTGTGGACCAGTCGGATACACTTTTGCCTTGCCGACATTAATGAAAAGCATCCACCTGCCCAAACCACCAAGTAACTATCCTCAATCATAATAGTTTTATCCTCATTATATCGCTCCCTTTGCATGCCAAGATGAGTTCTGTAATCTCAAGTTCCTGGTAACATAAAAATACTGTTAGGAAAGAAAAATAAACATAATCTGTTGTCTTTTTTTTTCCTCCAGTATAGCAGGCCAGGAAGTAAATCAAAATCCTGTGTTCTCTAATTATTTGACATATACAAGGAGACTACAATACAAATAAGGAAGTTTTTTATTGACTACACTAACTGGAATGAGGAAAAACACAGGAATATAGCAAATGTTTTTTTTTTTTTACTAAACAGCAGGTAGTAGGTGAAAAATTAATAGTTTACCTTTGGTGGACAAAGAAATGGAAGTAAAGCAGAGTCTGACAAACCCAAAAGGTCACTTGCTGCTCAATTTCTTTCACATAGGATAGCTGTGTTGATAACATTCAGAATTGGTTGTATTTCTCAAATATTTATCCCTTTTTCTGGCTCTTTCTTCTTAGGAGATTAACAGGGCAGGCCCTTAAAAGGGGGTCCAGGATTTTAATGGCATAGCTTTCTTTCTAAAAAAAAGAAGAGGCCTGGGTATACCCTGGATTATCCAGGCCACACTGTGAGATTCGATACACTCACTCTTAGTGAGGTTTGACGAAAAATGTTTTTCAGGTAGTTTACCTAGGTGACAACTAGTAGTGACACACTCTTTGTCATCCCATTTGAAGAATCTAGATAAACTTGCAGTGACGTCAGTAGCAAAAGGGCACAGAATTTCTTCAGATATTGTTCTCTCATCTGCTTCATGCAGAGCTACAGGGTATCAGAAATGCAATAGAGTCTAGGAGTTATGCAGCCATCGCCCTTGCTTTTACTGCAGGATACCAATGACTCAACTAAGGTCACACAGACAACTTATGGTGAAAGCGGTAACAAATAATTCTTGTCTAGGGTTCTTTCATGTACCAGAGAGTGGAAGTTACTGGGAAGAAACTGCAGTTTAGAATGTCTATCCCTGGGTGAAACATGAAGAATGAAACGAACTTGAGTAGACTCCCCCTCCTCAATCCCCAGGGCCATAAGGACAGGTGCTTCTTTACACGAATCCTTTCTTTGCCTAAAACGTATTTGGCTTCCTGAAATGTCTGCTACTGATTGTCATTTCAAAGGTTGATGGGGTGGCCATCCTGTACTATAGATAGCTATGATGTTCATTATGGTATGATAATTTTTCTCCTCATTTCCCTTCTCAAAATGTTCACCTGGAAAAGTTAAGAAAAGCATATTGTTCCTATAAAAAAATGTAAGTAAACTATACTAACTTTTCTGTGTAGCTCACTGAAAATAATCCCTAGATGAATAGCAACAGAGGCTAGTGCAGGTTGCTGGCATCTATTAGGTCTCTAATTCTTCCCTAATAATCTGGAAAAGTGAGATTCTGTATAGGCACCAAAGTCAACACAATTCCCTCCCAAAACATTTACATTTCCTTCACATACATTAATAATAGTAAATATATAATTCTCACATGCTACTCTGATCATGTCAATTGCCAGACAGGGAAGGTCCTTACCTCACAGCCACCTGAAGTTCTTCCCTCTACAGCCCCTATTCCCAACCAGACTCACTCGAGGAGTGTCTATTCCTATACATGGTGTTGAACAATTAAAGCCACACTAACCTAACTGTCATACACATCTTGATCAATGGTAGGATCACTTCCAATGGAGAAAAGGCAAGAATAATTCCATTAAGAGGACACTAAACAATAATTGCCTCTAAATATTTGGCTGCTAACATGTTCATCCTAATAACTCTGGACTCTAAAGAAATTTGGAGGGATTTAGGAAAGGATTAAGATTTTAAAAATTCATTATTCTTTTTATATACATATGGATTGAAAGATAAGGGTAAGCTGACAAACTGTAAATATATTCACATTGAAGTGATTATTTTCTATAAAAATTCATTGTGTTCTGTAATTTCTTATTTTAGGGCTTAAAATTAATATGATACACAGATGAAAAGTTACTCTTCCATAACTTAAAGTAACATAACTAAAAAATTGGAGTTCTTTTTTTATATAGTCTATCAGGCTTCATAATCAACATTATTTCATGGCTCATTCCTGGAACTGAGCATTTAATCTGTTGCATTACATGAGGGGTAAATGTGCCTTCCATGGTCACAGCCACAAAGAGTATATTTTTAACCTAAGTGGAAATGTAGGTTTCAAAAATGTACATTAACTGATTTGTAACACAGGTGCATACATCTGAATTCCTAACATACTCAAATTTAAGAAGTTCAGCAAAAATAGCAGAACATACATTTTAAGTTCAGAAATAAATTTCTTGTGTTAATTAATGCACAGGAAATTAAAATTAGATCCTAAAGAAGGGAAAAGATGTATCTATGTCTGCCTGCAAATAAATAACCAAGTTGCATTAAGTATAAATCTGAGAAGCAGTGCTAGAGTTAATGTAATGCATGACCTATATTTTGGCTGGCAGTTTTGGGGTTTCCTGGAAAGCAGTCTGCTTTTTAAGGACCTGGAACTTAAAAAAATATTATTGTTAGAAAGCCAAAATGCAAAAGAGTTTACATGTGTATACTGCAGCTTTTAAAATTCCAAATCATTGGCATTTTTACTATAGTCTATGACAATCCCAGGATTGTATTTAAATAAATAAACCCACAATGAAAACCAATCATTAAGAAAACATAGCCTACCACGCCAAGAAAAACGTTCTACAAATTATCTCATTAAGATCTAGTCTTCAAATGTTGTAATGACACATAATGACTCGCATAATTCTTTAATTAAAACTTTTCTTTAACATGTATATTTTAATTAAATACTTCATATATACTGCTGTGGTTTTATCACATAGGCTGCAAGCAAATAAAATACAAGAATAGAAAATTCAGTGTAATATTATACCAGAACGGTGCCAAAAAGTTACTTTACTTGACCAACAGGAAATAATGTAAATGTATTAATACATAGATTTATAATGTAATGTAACTATATAATTTAATATAATATAAATATAAAATAAAAATATAGGTTAAAAACTGTGGTTCTTACCATGGGTGATATACTCTGAGAACTGCAGCCACTTCTACCTTGATATGGGTGCATATAATTCTGGTACAGCTGCATGCCATACTGTAGAATACATAAATAAAAACACATTCCCACCACTTTTACTGCATTGATAATTGATTAAAATAAACACTTCTATTAATTATTATAATACCCATATTAGAAAGAATTATAAGCATTCTTTAAAACAAACAAGCATCCAAAATGTTTTAAATACAAATTTTCAGTGCCCTGCAATGATACATTTTAAAAGACAAAGTATTTTGCTTAGACTGACAACTAATTCACCACAACAGAGTTCCGATCTGACATTTCTGTTTATTACTATTATTATTATTATTATTATTATTATTGAGATGAAGTCTTGCTATGTTGCCTAGGGTAGTCTGGAACTCCTGGGTTCAAGTAATCCTCCCACCTTGGCTTCCCAAAGTGCTGGGATTCCAGGCATGAGCCACTGCACCTGGCTCTGCTCATTATTCTTAGCATAGAATTGTGCCACAACTATTGGGAGTGGTACACTGCCTCATGATAAGAAAGCTCACTTGGGAAGCCTGGCACCAAGATTCCAAAACCCTCACAGACATCCTAAGCCACACTGTGTATAATTCATTGTAGTTCTCTGATGACTGACTGATGAACTATTTTGCTTTGTTTGTTAAATCCATAAACGTGGCCCTGTGTTGAAAATACTTGACACTGTATCATCCTCATATCAATATTCTTATGACATTGTTTAATTTTTGACTTCAAATTCAGGGAAACCAAAGTAGTAGGGAATCAAGCTAATTTCAAACAAAGAGATTCAAAATGCAATGTAAATGGTAGAAGATAAGAACTGTGAACTAAAGTGTCTTCACTTTCAGGAGGCAATTCATATGAGTTGGGCCAGCAAGCCATACTGGAAAGTAGGTCTGACTTATAACTATTAGTTTGAAAAACATTAAGAATGCCAACTGCCCTGAGCAAACTTGTCCTGGAGGTATCCCCATTTAAAACTGGAAGCTAACCCCCTTAGGTTTAAGCCACTTTGTTAAAAAAGAAAGCAATGGTATAAACAGTTTTTTCCCCCTTATACTCTACAATTCTCTACATTTCATGCAGCCATAATGAACTTAAAAGTTAGGTCCTATATAAAAGACATTAAATAGACACCATAGAATCAAATCTTACCCAGAGGATAAATTCCATTTAAACATTCCAACAGAGCTGTTTTTCTACTAAAGACTATTTCCTTGAAAGCAATTCTAGAAAAATGGATATATTTGGTAATTAGGCAAAAAATCAGAGGGGGTCTAGGGGAGTCACTGTTCTCAAGATTTTGCTTTTAACATGAATGCAAACCTACACTCATTTAAAATTCTCTGTGTTGACTTCTTTATCCAATTATCTCCCAACTTCTAAAAATTATTTTTTAATTTAAGGTTTGATTGACATTAATGGGACCTAATGAAATTTATTTCAAATCAACTCTAAGCCTACAATAACTTTAAAAAGAAGGCAGAGGAGCTTAATTTCTAGTCAAGTTCATTTTGGAGAATATATAATAACCTCAAACCAATACTTTCACAAGAACATGCTGCTTGGCTACCTTTTATTTATCTGCATTGAAAAGCCTGCTACCTACTAATAAGACTGCTGTCTTCAAAGATATATTGTTCCTGGTGCCTGCAGTGTTAGGTAGTTGTCTCTGTGCTGCTGGAGGTCTTTAGTAGGCATTTAACTCTGGCCAAGGGCTAGGGCATGGGTCACTTTAACATTTCGCTGTCCTATGGAGGGGCAGATAAGGGACCAAAATACGTTAGAGAGGAGCTAGCAGAGTTCTAATTGAAGGGAAGGGGAAAAGACGACATGTAACTAGGACATTATACACGGGCAAATCTTCCATTTTCTAAGTCTCAGATTTTCTATAATTTTATATGTGACTAGAATTTCTCCACAGAGAAAAATGGTGTCTCCATCTGATCTGTATGAAGAGTTTACATATGTATATTAAAAAGAAAATGAAATAAGAATAAAACAAGCAAATTCTTGGTCAGAGGCTGTATCTAGTAAGTAATATATAATGAAAACAAGAGAACACTGCCAGTCCAGCAAACATAGTATCTCCCTGCTCTTCCCTACTAAGTACAACAATAAACTCTGGAAATAACACAATAGACAATCAAAAGAGACAAACGAAAGAGGCATTAGAAACATTTCTGTCACCAGATGAGCCCAGTTGCATCAGCAGGTGCCCCACTGACAAGTTGCCAGGGGATGCCAACTCACTCACTCCTCTAATAAACTGTCTCCCTCTGTGTCTGTGTTGTGAGAATTGGGACAAGCCCTGGCTTCCTGTGATCTGGATATCTTAAAGTGTAAAACAAATAATATCACTTTTCTGTTTGGTTTCTCATTGACTCCAGGATAAAGATCTTCACTGAAACCCCCTTCCCTCTCCAGACTCATCTGAAAAGCTTTGCCATTATTGAAATGAACAAGGAACACAGATGTATGTGGTCAGTAGAATAATGGTCCCCCAAAGATATCCACACTCGAACCCCAAGAACCTGTGACTATGTTAGTTAGGCTACCTGGCAAAAGGGAATTAAGGTTGCTATCAGCTGATTGTGAGGTAGGGTGATAATCCTAGATCATCCAGGTGGGTCCAATGTCATCACAGGGTGCCTTATAAGCGGAAGGGAAAGGCAGAAAAGACAGAACCAGGGAGATGGCAGTGTGGAAAGAACTCAGTGTGACACCGCTGGCTGAGCAGCCTTCCAAGGCTCAAAAAATAAGGGAGATGGTTTCTCCACTAGAGTCTCCAGTACAAAATGCAGTCCTGCCGACTGACACCTTGCTTTTAACCCACTAAGATTCATTTTGGGCTTCTGAACAAAAGAAATATAGCACAATAAATATGTGTCGTTTTAAGTCATTACATTGGTAGTGATTTGGTATAGCAGCCATAGAACATGAACACAATGGAGCATTTTTGAACTGAGAATCTGTGACTTGAAAGAGGCTTTGAGGACAGTAAGATGAAGGAAGAAAAGTGAGAAGGGGACAATCTTCCAGAAACTAAGCATCCTGAAAATAAAAAGATTAAAGAAAGCTTTTGGTGTATGTCATCAATGCTTGGGTTGGTTAATTTTACATATTGTTGATTTTAACTCAATTTTTAAAAATTATAAGAATACAAAATAAAACTTCATTCTAAACCTGGTTTAATAACTAGTAATTCCAATTACGAATTTCTGCCCAATCTTTACCCTGATCTCTCTCTTAACCAGGATGCTAGTAAAAGATGAACAGATAACAGATAAGGTAAAAATGACAATGGGAGAAAAACAGTGAACCTGGAAAATACACAAACTATAAATCAATTTAAATGTGGAAAGCATCCCCTCCTTCAGGCTGACTGAAATGAAGGAAACCAAAGACTTCAACAAGGCCTCATCTGCTCTGATTTTCATTTCTAAATATATCAAAAAGTTAGTTTTAGGACATAGATGGTTACTAATAAAACCTTCCTGTGGTGATAATAGGATCATAAAAATAATCTACATATGATACACATAATCTATATATTGGCAAATTATATTAGTGTATAGGCATAAATTACAAAGAGTACTTTTGGAAAATGTTAAACTTTCCATTTTTAAACCAAAAATTTAATAAGAGTGATAAATTATACATTTGGTTACATTAGCAACAATAATACTGACTACTATAGACAGGCATAGTCTTTGGATAAATTTTATCTTTTCAATGAAAAAATATTGTAATTGTTTTCCCCAATTGTGACGACCAAAACAGTATCTTACAAAGAAAATGGTTGATAATTTTTATAATTATAAATTTAAAGTTGCTTAAAATTCACTGGCATACAGGTTTCAAAAATAAATGTGTTTTCTATAGATTCTGGAAGAAATCAGTTCTGTTTCTCTCTTTTGTACATGCATCTACCTTTAGAATGTTCTTATTCGTTTCAAAATGCTCACCAACAAATTATCCTTACAAAAGTTGTAATTTCTACTTAGCACAAAAGTAGATGTTTTAAAAATATATGCACAGTAAAATTTATACAATAATTTGAGTTGTACTTATTAAACTAGAAAGCAATTTATAAAACACTTACATGAAACATAAAACAATTCCATTACACACATCCAGGTGGGCACACTTTAAAACTGTACTTTATGTTGGATTGTTGGCAATGTTTTAAAAATGCAGACTATGTTGTGTATAGGAGTTATCTCATTCGGTAATACTTGCTATGTATGTAGTACTCTCAAAAATAAAAATCAGAATGCTTCTAGAAATAGAAAACATACTCCACATACAGAAGGTAAATGTATTAGGTTATTTCACTCTACTCTGCATTTATCATTTAGAATTTTAAAAACTATACACATTTGGTGATGGATATTTTTCTTCTTTTTCATATAGCCACACAGATTCACAGTGAGACTTCACCTTCTGAAATACTGATTTTTTCAAACGTTTATGGTCCTCATAGCATTTAATAGAAATTCATGCCTCCAGTGAGATTACCTTAAGCAATCTAATCGCGGTCACCCAGCACGTCCTACTCTGCTCTTCTTCTGCACAGAGCATTTTCAGGTCTCGGGGCCCTCCTGCTTTGTTAGGCTAGAAGGCCACAGCACATTGTTTATCGTTAATGCATATCTTGAAGGTAACACCTGTTGAAATAAAAGCCACTAAAATTCTCCTATATATAAGAGAAAGCTGTCTCTTTTTAAAAGAAATTAAGAGAATCTCAAGCTTACCTAAAAGGCTGAGGTTTTATTCATCTATCAAAATATTAAGCCTGTACCTTAAAGCAGAATCCATAGTTAGTCGGTGCTCCATGTTTTTTTTTGCCTGCCAGTGACACATAAATATCACTATTGCCAAATTCACTGAAAAACTGCAAATGCCGTGGTTCCTGAGAAAAAATCAAAATGAGTGTTGAAATGGGTACATGTTTTGCATTATCTCTTTTTGTATTTCTATTATATTACATAATTTATACCTTGTGTAAAAAAAATTTTTTTTTAAAAAAGCTGTTCCAAATAGAATTTCAGTATGATGTCACAAAAATAAAAGAAAAAAAAAATGCTAAGTCACTGTAGCCTTAAATAACCAGGAGCTAGATATGATTTTACTTAATTTGGGAAGTGGCAATTTGTTTGTAATTCAACTTCCAATAATATAAATTATATAAATTCCATCCAGGCATAGTGACATGCACCTGTAGTCACAGCTACTCGTGAGGCTGAGGCGGGAGGATCACTTGAGCCAGGAGTTCAAAGCTGCAGTGAGCTGTGACCATGTCACTGCACTCCAAGCTGGGCAGCAGAATGAGACCCTGATTCAAAAAATAAAATTAAATTAAAAGTAATAAATAATGTATAAATTCCTATTTTAAACTTCCTTTCTTTAAGCCCCGTTTCAAGGAATCTGAGGGAGAAAAAAAGTTACAAAAGAACGACTTTTGGAAATATTTTCTTCATCCAGGCTTCAAATAATGGCAGTTCAACAAAGAAAAGGAGATTGGTTTGAGCTTCCATAGCAGTCAGAGGATAAAAGCAAGAGAGACAATGATTTCTGCTCCATTGAGACACAGTCATCCCTCACATCTGTGTACTGCAGAACACATCCCAGGTGAGCTATGGGCCACCCTCGCATTACAAAAGGAAGGATGCCTGTACAGATGAGTTCAGGGAAATTAGCTGGCAGTGGAATAGTTTTGATTTTCAAAGCAAAGTGGAAGCATGAAAAGCTATTTCTTCTCTGGGAAATCCATGAGATTTAGAGCTGGTCATGGGAAATCACTGGGTCATATTATTCTGTGATAGGTTAATAACATGGAGAAGTGCTTAATTCTGAGGTTGAATGTATAATCAAAACTGACCAAAAACACATTTGTTCTCTAAAACCTTGCTACTAGTCGTGTGGTCTCAGACCAGCAGCATCACATCACCTGGGAGCTTGTTAGAAATGCAAACTCTCAGGATCCACCCCAGACCTACTGAATCAATATCTGCATTTTAACAAGATCCCAGGTGATTCATATGCACTAAAATTTGAGAAGCAGTGCTCTTAAAACACACACACACACACACACACACACACACACACACACACACACACACACACACACACACACACCCTCCCCCCCCCATTCAGTAATATGCGTAACCTTATTCAAATCCAAAAAAATTTCATTGTCATTTGAAGTAAGCTACTTCATCTCTGGCGACTGGAAGAGCAAGAGTTTCTCAGTATGGCACTGTTCTCAATGACTGTAGTTACTAACTCCATTGGAGAATAAGGCAGAAAAGAAGATTGCTTTAAAAGACCCAGTCTAGGACTCTTGGAACAAGGGAGGAGGAAGGAAAAGGGTACTCTTATTGCCATGACTTCTATTCCCTGATAGAAACTAATTTGCTAGTAAAAAATCTGATTTCTATGATGGTAGAACAAAACCATCCTTGCCCATTAATGCTGTAGAAGTCAATACAGCTCAGTCTTTTGACTGGGAGTAAAAGGCAGCATGAGAAACAATGGAAGGTAGTAAGAAGAATGATGAATTTTTTCTCTTGATTGATTTTTTGTTCTACTATTACAGATATATTAAGGCTTGTAGCACTATAAGACTACAAGCCTGAATTGACATGGTTAGCAAAATCTAAGGAAGCACATGTATATAGGAGGGGGGAGATGGAAAGTAGGGTACTTGAAGGTTTCTCTGTAAATATAATTCATAGCCATATCGCTAAGGCTTGCAGCAGCGCTTAACTAACTCTGATGCAGCCTTGACATCTTTAGGAAGGTAAAACAATCAAGGCCTCCTCAGGGAATAAACAGGAAATGGTCTCCTTGTCAGGCAGAAATGTCACAGTAGGCATTAGAAAACCTGCACAATCTGTATCAAGGTCATAGTCATTGAAGAAATTCAATATCATCAAAGTTTTTTCTTGGAAGGATAACTTCAAAATAATTTCCATGTACAGACTGTGGAACATGAGCTCATTAGGCACCGGTTAGGGATTAAGACTCCATGTATGATGGATACCAAAGTCAGACACTGTGTTGAGAAGAACTAAGGTCTGGCCTGAGAATAGAGGTTTAATGCTTATAATTTTGCACAGCTAAATTGAGGAATGAGAATGTGGATCCGGTGGGAAAAATAAGGACTAAGCTGTTGTATAATGGGTGAAAGGGAAAGGAGGTAAAGGATCAAGTAATAATATAATGGGCAGTGGATTATAATGGGAACCCTGTTGAAGAATTTTGGAGTGAAAGCAGCAGCATCACACTTTCCAGGGAATAATCACTGGAATGAGAATAATGTAAACATGAGTTACTGGATTTAGAAGCCATTTTTCTCTGATGTTAAAAGTAAAAAGATGATCCAGAACACATTTGTTTAAAAAAACACTTAGTATGTTACTTCATACATTAGGAACACTAAGAAAAAGCAACCTCATTAAAATGTTATGAAAAGTCTAAACCTCAATGGCAAAATGGCAAAAATGGATTAATATTCATCGTATTTATATTGATTTATAATGGAAATATTTGAAAACTGGTTTAAATATTCAAGAAAGAGTAGCTAAATTCATCTGTATGACAAAACATTAGTTGCCAAACCATATATACTTAAAAATAAAGATTTCAGTTAAGGAATGCATTACTAAATTAGTAGAGGCCCATTCCATGAAACATTACACTGCAAGGAAATACATGCACATATACATACCCTCACACACAAGAACAGCGACCAAGGAAAACTGTATATAAGGAAAAGGAGACCGAGTACAGTGGCTCACACCTGTAATCCTAGCTCTTGGAAGGTGAAGCGGAGAGGATTGCCTGAGCCCGGGGGTTGAAGACGAGCCTGGGCAACTTGGTGAAACTTTGTCTCTACATCAAAAAATCAAAAAATTAGCCAAGTGTGGTGTCACATGCCTGTGGTTCCAACTACTTTGAAGGCCAAGGCGGAAGGCTTGCCTGAGCCCAGCAGGTGGAAGCTGTGGTGGCCATGAGAATGCTACTGCACCCTAGCCTAACTGACAGTGAGACACTAGGAAAAAAAAAAAAAAGGAAAAGGAGGAAGCTATATAAGAATATGTGGGGGAAATATGAAAAAGAGTCAGATATTACTCTTTTGCAGCTCCACAATTCCTGTCAAGACCATTACCCAAGCATCTAGTTGCCATCATTAGCTGTGTTTTGGCACTGCTATTTGGATGCTTCATCCTCAACACAAAATATCTAGAAGTAAGATCATTATTTGTCTTCTAAGAGAGTAACTTGCTAGTAAGCCTTCTATTCTTATTTTCTAATATCATGTCCATTTATTTTCTTTTATCTTTCTCTAAGGACATTTTAAGTGCTTTTTCTTCTTTCTTATCAATCAGTCAACAAAATCTGGCCAGTTGCCACTTAAATCTTGCAACCATTCCTTTCTTCTCCCCTCCACTGCTTGTCCTTGGTCACTGACATTAGATTCCCCTTGGATTAATTTCATCAGCGTCTGTGCCCATACTATAATCAATCAATCTCTCTCTCTCTCTCTCTCTCTCTTTCTCTCTCTCTCTCTCTCTCTCTCTTCCCCTACACACCCCAGCTTTCCTTCCCTTCTACTCTTTCTCCACCTCCCTTCCTCCCTCCCCTTCAATCTCTTTTTTTCTCCTTCCTTTTCTCTCTCTTCTTTGTATTTTGAGCTCCCTATGACTATACTAATCTTCTTAAGACATTTCACTCCCTTGTTAAAATATTTCCATGGCTTTCTGCAGTAGGGTTGAACTACAGTCCTCCAAAAGAGGACTATAGGACCATGCTCAAAACCTTGAAAAGTATGAATGTAACCTTATTCAGAATAAGGGCATGGAAAAAGTAATTAAGGTAAGGATCTTGAGTTTAGATCATCCTAGATTATCCAGATGGATCCTTAATACAAAGACAAGTGACCTTGTTAGAAGACCATGTGAAAATAAAGGCAGAGATTGGAGTTAGCCACCAAGCCAAGTTGCATCTGGAACCATGACTAGCCAAGATGGAAGATTCAACTGAAATTTAAAAGATCAAATAATAATAATGGAAAAGAAATAGTCAAATGACTAATAGATATATATTTCTAGTATAAAAGAAAATATGAGTTTTCACAATAAGTATGTGTGCAGAGAATCAAGCAAAATTTGGCAGACTATATTTTAACACACCTAGAATTATGGCAGAAAAATTACTGCACACCAATAATAATAAGAAAATTTGATGAATAGCTAAAGAGAGATGAGAATTTACCCATAAAGAAACAACAGTGACAACTGACAAGTGCATAAAGATAGAATAGCAATAACCTCCCACTTAAACTCTCAAAAGTATTTTTACAGCCGGGCTCGGTGGCTCAGTCTGTAATCCAGCGCCTTGGGAGGCTGAGGTGAGTGGATTGCCTGAGCCTGTGGATTTGAGACCTGCCTGGGCAACTTGGTGAGACCTCATCTCTACAATAAATCAAAATCAAAAAATTAGCCGGCTGTGGCAGTGCGCGCCTGTAGTTCCAGCTACTTGGAAGACTGAGGCGGAAGGATCGCCAGAGCCCAGCAGGTCAAGGCTGCGATGATAGGGAGCAGCCACTGCACTCCAGTCTGGGCGACAGAGTGAGACTCCAACTCAGAAAAAAAAGTATTTTTACTTAAGAGATATCAATGCATTGCACTGCATAAAACGTACAGACTTATAAACATATATAGGCTATGTGGCATAATGGACATGTACTAGACACATAAAACATAGGCTACATGATGCTGAGCACTGTGGAATACACATGTATGTTTAAGTGATTATGTACATGCACATGAACATCTGCACATGAATATCTATGTAACTGTGTGCCTAGGTGTATATACGCAAACACACGGATAAACACATTCATTCACCCCAGGTTACAACATCGTAACTTCCTCAAGGAATTCACAATCTAGGTAAAGAGACAAAAATTACACACAAAATAACTAAAGAGCAATAAAGGACTCAGCTAAGTGTCATTATCTGTTCTGTTGATGTTGATCAACTTAAGTTCAGAAGTAGGCAAGGTCTGTCATATGGCCTGGGGTAAAAAGAGAAGGTATAAATGACATTGGGCCTCAAAATCTGCCTAGGATGAAGAGAAAAAAGTGAATTCAGGATGGGGAATATGAGTAATACTTGGGATGCTGACTCTTCACAATAGCTAAAACATGGAACCAACTGTGCTGCCCACCAAAAGTGGACAGGATAAAAAAAATGTGGTATACATACATGATGGAATATTATGCAGCCATAAAGAAAAACGAACATATGGACTTCACAGCAACTTGAATGGATTTAAAGTCTGTCATACTCAGTGATCTATCACAGAAACAAAGAACTGAGTACCATATGTTCTCACTCATAAGCAGACCCTGAACATTTATCATAATACTATAAGAAAGGGATTGACAGTAGTGGGACACTGTCAGGGGAGGGAGGGAAGAGCATAAAACAACAATAAGGGAACCTGATCCCAAACCAGGCGAAGTGGGGATAAAAGAGAGGCCCAAACTTCACCAGTATGATCCACTTATGTACCTAATCCTGAATTGTACCCCACATCTTTAAAATAAAATAAGATTATATATATATATATGGTGCTGAAATAAAGCAACCAAATTTCATCAAAGATATGTTGAAACTAGTGTGGAAAAAAAACTCAACATCAAGTAATAAACACAACAAAATAAAGTATGTTTTAAGTTACAGTTAATATATTATTCCTATCACTGAAACTTCAATTTACCTTTGATGTCCCCTTAGTAGAAAAATATAAACCAGATCTTCTTAGAAGGAAGTAAATTTTTTTCCAAGACTTCTTTCCCTGTTCTTTTGCATGTAAAAAGCCATGAATTTCGGGATATGTGCTTGAACTCAGAAACATCTGGAAGAAAATTTAGATATCATCTTACTAATAGCAAATCAAATAATATTGTAACTTTATACTAATCATGTTAAGATTTCAGATATAAACATGCAAATATCCAACAGTATCAATACCATTTATATAACATTACAGAAATCATAATATATATGCAACAGAAAATAAATGAGTCTTTCAAATCCTGAGACAACTTTCAAATAAAAATATGTTCATAAAATATACATTCTGATTGATTAGTGCCTGGCCAACTACCAAAATTATAATCTAATGGACATCATCTATGAAGTTAAATCCTGATATACTTTTCATTCTTTCCCATGGTTTTCCCTGAGATTATAGGTTTACCTATCAACTTCATTATGGTATAAGACTGAAATCTTGACTTCAATTATGAAGCAAGAAGTTGAGCCAAGTTCAACTCCTAGAGCAGGGCAAACACAACAATTTCTTCTTTGTTGTCTGTGGCTCTCCATTGTGGGTGGGCATGGTGGGTCCTGTTTTTTCCAAAGAGAACTGCAACAATATCTTCAACCCACATGCCCTGAACCATGAAGCAGGGAAGTTTCTTTCTCCATTCCCTTCATTCTGGGCAAGGCTGTCTATTGCTTTGACCAATAGAATATGGTGGAAGTAACACTCTGCTAGTTCTAGGTGTAGTCCTTAACTAGCCTGGTGTCCTTAACCAGACATGACGTGACTCTTGGAAGGCAGTTATCACATAAGAAATGTGACTACACTGAGACCACCATGTGTAGGAAGCTCCATGCAACTCCATGCAACTGGAAAAACTGGAAGATGAGACACCATGTGGAAAGAGAGAGAAAGAGAGACCAGAGTGTATCAAGGCACACATAATAAAAAAGTCAATGTGCCTCAGAGATGACCCACCAGCTAAACTCTTCCTAAATGCCTGCCCCACTAAATTGTTGGCAAAATGTGAGTGAGTACTTTAAGCCATTAAGGTTTGGAATAGTTTATTACACAGTAATAATTAACCAAGACAGGAGGCATGTGTTGGTAAAAAAAATAAAAAAATAAATAAGAATGACAAGCAATAGCTCTGAGTAGCTGTGCTCAGTATCTTTAATAAGATAGTAGAAATGCATTAGTGTCTCATTGAAGAAAAATAATAGAAATCTCTGAATAAACAAATGCAAAATGGAAAACTTGAAAGAGAAATTATTAACTAAAATAATGTAACATGTTTTAAAAGGTTATTCAGGGAAATGCTGATAGTAGATATTTATGTTTTTTAAGTAGATTACTAAAAAATTTAATTTAATGAGCCACAGATATTAATTAATTGACATGCAAAACAGGCAAGTAGGTTTTTTAGTTTGAGTGCTTTCCAAGTTATTAAACCAAACCAATTAAATTTTAAAAAGAGAGTCATAGAGGTCACACTATAAAAAGAAAAAACCTTTTAAAAAGTGGAAACATTGCCTCAGTGGAGAGAAGAGGTCAGAGGCACATGCAGGACTATCTTATTCCAAAGCCTGTGATTTTTCTTGTTTTTGTAATTTAACACTAAAGCAATATAACTATGTTATAGGAGGACTTGCAAAAGGAGGCAGAATAAAAACTCCATGCCATCACTATGCTGTAACACAGTGATGAAGCATTCAGAGGACTGGGTTCTGGAAGTCCTGGTGAACAGCTGCTGCCGCCATCTCCCCTAATATGGTGATAGGGTGTCTCTGTGAAACCCAGCATCATAAAAGCTGGGACTAATCATATTTTCAAAATATTCTGAAGCACAGCACTAACATGAAACCTATTAAAAAGTCCATAGAAAACAAACATGTAACAGATATATCTACCTAATATATTTAAAGTCATAGTTATATTGAAAATATTAAGTTGTCTTTATTAAAGATCAGAGAATACTGAGTGGGTTTGAGGATGTCCAGAACTTAGCTTAAACAACATCTGTTGTAAAGACATTGTTCTACATTAATTTGTGAAAAACAAGCATAAAAGCAACTAATCTATCAAAAATTAAATATCTGAAATCATTTGTTTATTGTAATGACAATGTCGTTAAAAATGACCATCTCAAACCACTGGTAGTTTGGAAGAAATGAGCCCAATAGATATTAAATTAATTAGATAACTAATATTATTAATTCAACTAAGACTATATCACATTTCTACACAAAGATTTCCATCACAGCTATTACAGATGTTAGTGTATAAAATAGATATACTCTATAGCTTTTTTTCTCCTTTCCTTTAATTTCTAAATATTTTATCACAAATAAGACGGAGGATGTTTATTATAAAAGTTAATACTGAGTATCTGTTGGTAAAAGGACCGTATTTTACTGGGAATTTTGAGTTTTCAAAAGACTAACATAATCTTTGCACACATAACGAAGCAAAACTCTGCAAGATTCCTTTCAAGATATGTATTTTTTCACAGAACAGATTATTTGGGCAGAAAATTTTTTTTTAAGTACATATTTTCAGCTATTTAAAAGCCTTTGAGAATTAGCCAAAACTAGGAAAAAGAATACTATTAGAGGGTTTTATTGATTTGGAGTATTATTTACCTGTTTTTTTCTTTTTCTTTTTAGTTTTATCTCCAGGAAAAATAAATAATAATAACTCAAGGCACAACATTTCAAAATCTGGGCATGTATAAATAATTGCATCAAAGTTTCCCTATATTATGCTATTACTTATATATTTTAATGAAAATATATGTTACCTGCAAAATCTGTGTGGGGGATATTTCACCATTGGTTTCACTTGCAAAAGATACCATATGCTCTGGAAAAAAATACTGATAAAAAGATACTGGTTAAATGATCTCAAAGCACATGCTAGAAAAGATTCAATTATGACCAACATAATAATCTAAAGCAAAAGTTCTTTAAACCAGTGTATCTAAAAGTCTTCTGATGTGTTTTTGAAAATGCCAATCCTTAGATTCCACCCTCAGGCACCTTAAAAAGAATGTCTAGAGTTGGGTCCAAAGATTAGCAAGCACCCCCACTCCCCACCCTGATGATGCTGAGACAGAGAGATCCACATATCTGAAGTTTTAAAACACTGCCCTCATGGTGACAATGTGTTTGCTTGCATATCTCTTTCTTGAGTCTTGCAACCACCCTACCAGGTACTATAGGACTATGACCCCTTTTTACAAAGAAAAGGCTCATGGAAGTAGAGTGTAGGGTATGTCCAAGGTCATAGCCCACACATAGACGAGTCAGGACTTAAACTGGCTAAGATAAAAGTCCAGTCCTTCCCACTTACTGCCCTTCCAAACTTTTTAATCACAAAATTCACCCAGCGCAGTTGTTTAAAATCAGAATTCCCAGGCCTCATTCCTGATTCAGCAGGTCTCAGCAGGTCCCAGATTCTATGTTTTTAATAAGCACTCTCTCCTAGGTAACATTTATGATCAGACAAGTTTGGGAAGTCATATTCTACTGTAGTTCCTCTAGCAAACGGTTTTTCTTCTAACATTTAGGTCCAATAATTTTGTGTTGTAGAGGGCTGTCCTGTACATTATAGGATGTTTAGCAGCATCCATAGCCTCTGTTCACTAGCAGCACTCCCCTCCCTGAGCCCCCACTCATTGTGACAAGCAAAAATGTCTCCAGACATGGTCAAACCACTCCCAGTTAAGAACCACTTCTCTAGGTCTACAAAATGAATGTCCAGCCTTGTTTAAATTAAAAAATAAAAAATGAACACTAAACAGGGTTTCTTTACATACATTTTTTTAAAAATTCTTACTTTTAATAAAGATTCGCAAGAAAACACTTTCCCTTCAAATTCTAATTCTATTTAATTTTTATTAACACTCTTATTTTCTTTGTCAAAGATCATCCCATTATGTTTCTATTAGTAGATTAAAATAAAAAAGAACATAAGAGGTCTTTCAGGGTTTGAAAATATTCTATTACGGTGTGTATCATATATTTTTCATACAGGATCATTTCAATCCAATTATCTAAAACTAAGTGTAAAAATATGCTACAGCTGCAGAGACAAAAACAATTTAAAATAATGAGCCCAGAGGCTATTCTGACATATCTAGATCCCTAGTCTTCATTAGAATGTGACATACATTTATTTTATTTTAAAGATAACTACAATGCAAGTAGTATTTACTAGATAATTCCTGATCTTTGTCTCACTTCTATTTAGTTCAGATGTTACTGCACTGAAAAAAAAATAATCTGGAACATTAAGATTCATGTCAATCTTAAATTTTTTGCTAAGTTAAAACATTCCCAATGATCATCAATCTATTTTTACTTTAGATAGTCTAAACAATAGTCAATTTAGACACTCTATTTAAATTTTCTAAATTCTGTTAAAAGTATTAAACTATAATATTTTGGAACGTGCTTAGAGACCTATAAAACTCATTTTCCAAATCAATTGTATAATTGTTTTGTTTTTAATTTTTAATTTTAAAGATGTGGGTACAATTCAGAGTTAGGTATATTAATGTTCATTATGCAAGTACCCTTGATGATGAGGTGTGCTCTCCGCCCCAGCAGTTTCCCTCAACTGCCAATCCCACCCCTTCTCCCCAGGCAGTTTGCCACTACTGCCAATCCCTTTCTTATAGTATAATGATAATTGTTCAAGGTGTGCTTATTGTTTTGTTTTCTAAAGGCATTAAAAAAGGAAGCAATGGTTCCCCAAACTAGATATCTTAGTACTTCTAAATTAAATAACCAAATTCATCTCAATTCAGACTTTGTCAACATGGCTAAAAAAAAAAACGTTTCATCCATCTATCTGAACTTCTGCATATGATGTTGACTAATCATTGTTAGAGAAAGAAGAAATGATAATATAATTTTAAAGGATCCTGAATCTTTACCTACAATTTTCCAAGTAAACTGGTATTTTATGTATAGTGACTCTTTTCTTTGCATTCAACTTGACTGATTCATTCATATCCCATAACTATTAATAGAGATTTCACTTACCATTGGGTTTTTAAAGAATTCATATTTGGCATAATTTTTTCTAAAGTATAGCTTATTTTCTTCTTCCATTCCCCAGTTGGATAGTACTTCAATCACCAGTTCGTGGTCTTCTATTGTTCTTTCTGTAAAGAATGTTTTATTGAACATGTTGACAGATAGATAGACAGAACCATGAAAATATATACCCATACAAATATAGAAAGAGTATTATGTATGTATCTTTATTAAACATAGAAAATTAAGAAGTAGCCAGATTGATAACATTTCTCATCAATTTTGAATTAGTAATGTCCATTTTTATACCAAAGCAGACCTTTGTCTTTTAAAAAATGTACATAAAGTATCACAATGCACTTTTTTCTAATTCTCAATTTCCTTTTATTACTATATAAATATTTATAAGTTTGGTATCAAATCTGCATTAGGTATATGGAGTTATTCTTTTTCTTCAATGCATCAAAGTGCCAAAATTAAAATATTTGTTTCAAGGTTGAGCAATTTATTTCATTAAGAGATGAAGAATTTTGACAGGTTCAATGTGCATCTAAGATCTGGATAGCTGAGAAAAATTAAAATAGATGTTTTATAAGGAAAATTTTAAGGCACATAGATATAGTTTTTTAAGAAGCCTCCTAGGTACTTTATATTTTCAAAACTTACATTAAGAAAAATATATTTTGCATTAACAACAAAGATAATTAGGTAGGACAGAAAGGCACTCAGCAGAAAAAGCACTTAAATTAAGTAAGCAATGGAAACTTTACAGAGGTGAACATAACATAAAAAAATTCTATTTTAATAAGAAATTGTGATGGTGTTCATAGCAGTACTATTCGTAATAGCCCCAAACTGCAAACTACTCAATCCCTATCAACATGGGAATGAATAAATAAATTGTGTAAAAGCACATAGTAAAGTATATTCTACAACAACCCACAGCAAGTATAGATGAATATTGTGCTTCACAAATATAATTTTCAATGCAGAAGTCAGAACAAATAGTACATATTGCATGATTCTACTTACATAGGGTCCAAAACAGGCAAAGTTAATCTACAGTTCTAGGAATCAGGGTAATGGAGACACCGAGTAAGTGGGGGCATGAAGGAAATCACTGGAATGAGTACAATATTCACTTTCTTATCTGAGGGTTGCTTACTTAGGAATATGAAATATCTGAGAATTCATTGAGTTGTGCAATATGGCTTGTACACTCTTCTTAATGTATGACATATTTCAATAAAAGGTTAAAAAAAAAGAAACTGTAAAATTACCAATGCAAAACAGCAAATGGAGAACCATCAAATAAGGAACATAGAAATTCCCTGCTTTTTCAATGCTTCTAGGACCTTTTTGAAAAGTATCTGTGTCTCAGAAATTCAACACTTGGTGGTGATCTGTGACCTATAACACCCAAACTCTCGAAAGTAATGTCATAGTAAAATAGAAGCTTATTCATCTGAAAGGACATTCTATAAGAGTGCTCAATGAATATGGATGAGTTTGTGCTAAGTGTGTGTCAACACTCAGGGTTCTATTCCTAATTCTGATTGCTCCTTTTCTATTTCATTGACTGGCTTCCCTAGCTCCTTCTCCCTTCTATGATTCACTTGGACTCTCTTCTTTCTCTTTCTCCAAACTAATTCACTCTCTCCTCTTCAGTCATCATATCTGTCAGTCTCTTGAAATCTCTGGCTACAATTGCTCTCACCCATACTCTGATCCTAACTACTAGACTCTCCACCACCTCAAATATAGTTTGCCTAAAACTAAAGTCAGTATGTTGGTTCTTTGAAATATTAAACATAGAATTACTATATGACCCAGCCACTCCACCTGTGGTTATTTACCCAAAAGAAGTAAAAGCAGGGACTTGAACAGATAATTTGTACACCACTGTTCATAGCAGCATCATTGACAATAGCTGAAAGGCAAAATCTATTGTCCATCAAGAGATCAACAGATAAACAAATGTAGTATACACAGTACATACAATGGAATATTCAGCTTTGAAAAGTGAATTAAATCTCACATGCCACAACATGAATGAACCTTGAAGATATTACCCTAAGTGAAATAAGACAGACACAAAAGAACAAATACTGTATGATTCCAGTTATATGAAGTATCCAGAAAAGTCAAATTCACCAAGACAGAAGTAGAATGGTGATGCCAGAGGCTGGAGGTACTGGGAAATGTAGAGATGTTGTTTAATTGGTACAAAGTTTCAGTATGGGAAAATAAAGTTGTAGAGAAAGATGGTCAGTTGTGATGGTTATACAACAATGTGAATACATATAATGTGACTAAACTGTACAAAAAGGTCAAAATAATACATTTTTATGTACATTTTACCAAATTTTTTAAAAACTTAAAGTCATTTTCCTTTTTTTCTTTTCAAAACAACTTATCCTTCCTAAATTATCTCCATTACTGTTAGTGTCATTTTGACCAGTCTGTCAAAGAAATGTAAAATTAAAACTTACCTTCACATCTTTCTCTATCTCCACTCCAATATCCTCTACACCTGACATTCCCAGATAGCAGGGATTCCTCCTCCTCTGGTGAGTAGCTCTTAAACAACAACTCCCTCCTCTGGGTCCCATTGTCACCATTTCAAGTTTTCTTGTACAATCTCTTAACCTCCAAATCTCTACTTTCTCATTCTTCTATTCAACCTGGACACTGATATTATGCCAAACCTTCTAAAACGCATATATGAACATGAATCCTGATCAAAAAGCTTGTCTACTTGAGATATATCCATATAGTTTAGCAGTTATAATCTAATCATTAATTTATTCATTCAACAAATATTAACTGAAGGTTTACAATATGTGAAGCACTGGTCTTAGGACTGGGAATTCTGTAGCAGAAAAGACAGTAAAAATTAACTGCCCTCATGGGGTTTTCATTTTAATGGGAAGAGAGATGATAAATAAAATGTGAATCTTAAATGGTAGGGATACACCCTACAGGGAAAAATAAACAGGGAAGAGAGAGAAAGTGCCGAGGGCATAAGGGAAAGAAATTCATTTCCACTAGCTTGGCAAAAAGGTTGCATTGAGAAGATAACATTTGAACAATGGTCCAAAGGAGAAGAGGACACAAGCCAAGCAGACATTTAGAGGAAGAGCAAGAACAAAGCCCTTAAGGAGAGAGCAAGGCTGGTATGTTTGAAGCACAGCAAAGAGGTTAATGTAACAAATGTTGAGCGAGCAAAGGAGGTGTGGCAGAAGAGGTTAGAGAAATAGTGGATATGAGACAGAGGATTATAGAAAGTCACACAGTCCATAGTAAGGATTTGGCTTTTCCTCTGTGTTAAATAAAAAGTCATTCTGAACAGAGGAATAACATGAACTAGCATGTTTAATAGGATCACATTCACTGTTGAGTAGAAAAATGACTCTAAAAGGCACAAATACCATTTGGTAGGCTATTAGAACTAAACCCAGGATACACAATATGGCTTAGATTAGCGTGGTAGCAGTCCATGCAATAAAAAAACAGGCAGAATCTGGACCTATTTTGAGAGTAGGGAAAACAGGACTTACTGACCAATTGGATATGGAGTAAAAAAAGAAAGTATCCAAGGAAGACACTAAGTTTCTTAGCTTAAGCACTTGAAGCATTATGTGACCATTAATGAGCTAAGAAGATCATTAAGAGAAGCAAATTGGGAGGAATCCAGTGATCACGGAAATACCAAGTGGGAGGCTGAATTCTTAACAACCTTCTGTCCTAACTTTCATCCACTTCTCATATTACCCAGCTGGTATTTTCAAGATTATGAAACACAGGTACACATTATTAAACATACTATGTGCTAAGCACTCTATCTATATTATTCGTAACTGCAGTGGGAGAAAAGTTCAAGGTATTAATCAAGATGCCTGCTTGTTTGCTTTGCAAACCTGTTTTCTTGCACCCATTGCCTTTCTCTACCTCTAAGGAAACAGCATATGTTCCGCCCTCATAAGATAGTATGCAGACCAAAAAAAAAAAAAACAACAAAGAGTCATTTTCTTGGTTTTTGAGCTTCAAAGTAGACTTTATCAATCTCAAAAATACAACTGCTTAGGGAGAAGCATGCCCAGCTAATCTTCCATTGTCTTATATAGGGATCCACCCTATGGGAAAAGAGGTAAAGTTAAGGGGTTAGTGGAAGAAATTGGTAGAATAAAGATTGTGAGGTAGCTAGATAGTAACTGGATAGGGTGTAGGTCCCAGTTCCATTTCCTGGCCTCTTCTCAAATAGAACCTTTTCACCAGAGTGGTAAGATCCTAGATAAGTCTAACTGTGGTGTGTGACTCAAGCCAGAGCCTTAGGAAAACTCAAGCCTCAAGCAGAAGCCCTGTATCTAGCATGATGAAGAAGCAATGTCAAATTCATAGCACCTCAGTATGAGGCAAGGGCTTAGAGAAGATGAACTTATGGCAGTGGTCCCCAAACTTTTTGGCATCAGGGACTGGTTTCATGGAAGATAAATTTTCCACAGACAAGGGGGTGGGAAAGAGATGGTTTGGGGATGATTCAACCAATTACATTTATTGTGCACTTTATTTCTATATAAAGTAATATATAATGCAATAACTATTCAACTCACTATAAAGCAGAATCAAGTTGTAGAGATAGATGAGTTTGTTTTCCTGCAGCTGGATGGTTCCATCTCGGGTTGATGGGACACAGTGATACCCTGAAGTGTGGTGCGTATGTTCTGTCTATTCCGTAATCTCATTTTGGTTGTTGTCACTGCAGAAAACCCTGCTTCACAAAGATAGGAAGCTGGAAATGGAAGCAGGCTTCTCAGTGCTTTTGTAGCAATCTTAGGATATTTTGCCTTGACTTTAACCCAGAACACATGGAAATTCAAAGTTGTCTCAAACATGCCTTTAAGGCTACTGTCATTTGCAATCTCAAGTAGTTGATCCTCTTCTAGCACAAAGTCAATTCATCTGGCTTATTCACAAATGAGTCATGGATCCATTCCTTCCCAGTTCAGTGGTCTTTTGTGGTTGGAAAGTTATGTTCAAACTCTTTTGAAAGCTGAAATAGGTGATCACGCACCAGCTGTGAGACAGAAGGCTCTGGTTCAGTCACTTTCAAAATCTCTGCTAATGT